ACCACCGCCGTTCGCCCCGCCGTTCCCTGTCGTCAGTGAAGCAGCCCATCCGCTGCTTAGAGCCTGTCCGGCAACTTTTTGCATCTTCGCGACATTTTGCGGCGACATTTTATTTTCTACATTCCGTTTCTACATTTTGGAGCTTGACATTTTGCGCGTTGCCGGACACCGATTGAACGGCCGTTTCGACATTTCGATTCGACATTTTGTTGGCCACGTGCTCAGGGTACATCATACGTCATCGCCATCCGGCTGTATAGAGACCTGCCTCCACTTCTGCTCCACTTTCCTTGTCCAGTTATATGTATCGACCCTGCGTGGAGCTCTTCTCGCCACCCCGCTCCTACGCTCCACCCAAATCGTCTATTAGCCGTTCTACTTCGTACCATCTTCTTCGACATGTCCGATTCATTCCAGAACAACAACTTCCACAACAGCATGATGCCTTTTGCGCACTCAGACTTCACTCAACACCAGTCGCCGGCCTCCCCAGGTACACTATCCTATGGGCAGCTTTTTGAGTTCAATCCCCGTTCCCCAACTCCAGCTGCTTCCCCCTATGGTCAGCCTTTTACCCTATCATCTGGAACCAGCAATTGTGCTTCATCTTCAAACCCGCTGAAGAGACAAATCTCATCAGCCTCGCTAGAACCAAGCACCCCCGTTGCGACAGGCTCTCGGAAGAAAGCGAAAGCTGGTCCTGTGAAGGAGAAGCCGGTGGGGAAGAAGCCGAAGATTAAAGCTTCCGCAGAGCTTGATGTGGATGCTATAGGTAGCAGCCGGAGTAACAAGAGATGGTCCAACGAGGAGCTTCAGGTCCTGTTGGAGTTCCTGCGAGACAAGAAGAAGTAAGCCACTTTCCACTGACGCATACATATATTTGCTGACCGAGTCCTTGCAGAGAGAGCACTAGCGAAGGTGCCTTCAAGTCGGAGGTCATGACCAAGGCCACGCGCGAGGTCAACGACTGGCGCAAGACGAAGGACCTCGATCCACGATTGAAGAGGGCTATCAGCGAGACGTACTCGAAGCTCTGCACCGACTTCAGGCTCCTGGTTCAGCTCCGCGAAGGGAAAGGAAGCTCTGGTTGGGGCTGGGACCACGATAAGAACATCTTCGACATTGCGCCACCGGTCAAAGAGGAGTACCTGAAGGTGAGATCTTTCTGTTGGGACATCAACCATTTCACTGACCTGATGTTCATAGTCTCATCCGAAACACGCTAGGGTCCTTAACTTCCCATTCCCTCATTCGAATTGATGCAAGATATACTGGGCCAATCGGCCATCAAAGGCAGCAAAGTCTTCCAACCTGGACAGCCCAGTGCTGTAGAAGAGAGCACGCAAGAGAACCTCAGTGACATCGGCTCGGAGCAGGACGAGGATGCCGAAGGTGAGGAGGTTGAACGCTCTTCAGTGCTGGCACCGGACAGCGACGATGAGGGAGAGCAGGACTCTGATGATGGAGAGGTGATCGAAGTAGTACCACCTGTGAGAATCTAGTCTCAAGTTTCTCTCTAGAGGTTGTATGCTGACTCACACCCTTGCAGGCGAAGCAGAAGAGACACTCTGCTGTCGCCACGCCAAGAAAGGAGGCCCCGAGCCGAGCAAGCAAGCTTTCAGGACCAGAAGCCATGCAGCAGCATGGTCAAAACCTCCAATTTGGATTGGATCGTCTGGCAACGAGCCTTATGAACGATGTCGATCGTGCTAGCAGGAACGAACTGTCTTCTCTCCTTGAGGACGTTAACTCTTCGCAGCTATTCTCCCCTGATAGCGAAGATGACATTTACGAGATGCTCTGTAGCCAGCCTCGTGTGTGCGACTTTGTCATGGCATTAAAACCAAAAGACAGAAGAATGCGATTCTTGCAGAATCATCTCAACAAGCAACGAGGAGGGTTATCTCAGCTTTTGGAATAATGCAACTGTAGATTATTAGGATCCCTATGCCCGTATGTCTATGTACCGTACAATGTTCGATGCAGTTATCGTAAGAAATCGAATCCCATAGCCAGCTCCATGACAAACACCTCCAATTCGAGCCCTCCCGCCGATACGACGCCCACACCGCCATGCAGCACCCCTGCTCTACTCGTGGAGCCTGTTGTGCTTTCTCATGCTTCTTCATCTTACCAGGTGATAGGAGCTGAAGACTGTACATTCAATAATTACAAGTTCGCAAGTTGTTGCCGTGCGTTGTATGAAGTGTATTGCATCCACATATCCTGCGCAAGCTCATCCCTGACCTTATCCGCTTGCTTTCTCACCGTGTACCTAGAAAGGCCCACTGTGTTTTGTCCTCTCTTCAGCTTTTGGTTCGTGGCCAACTCCTTTGCCAACAACTTATCTTCCTCCTTCCCCCTTGCCTCTTCCTCAATATGTCCAGGATCATTTTCATCGTACACTCCGGCAACCAAGTTCAGAATGCTTGGGAACAGTTCTTCCCCGAGGCGCTGAATACCCTCCTTGGTGGTGATCATGTTGTGCAGGACACATACCGCGTAGATGGTGCGGAACTGATCAGCCATGGAGAATTCGCTGCCGTGCTTCATGATTGAGAAGCGTTCCTTGACCACCCCAAATATTCGCTCGATAACATTCCTCGCTTGGGCGTGTCGGAGGTTATACAGCTCTTCTTTGTTCTTGGGACTGGAAATCATCAGTCAGCTATTGACATCTTGAGTAAGCTACGAACTTACCGTGTACCTGCTTTGCCCCATTCTTTCAAATGATAACGCTTACCCCTGTAGGGCACCCGTAGACCAGGATGAGCCCCATATCCTGCATCTGCAAGGTAGAACCTTCCATGAGGAACAACAAAGTCATCCTCAATAGCGTTTTCCATTACATTCACGTCGTTGCCAGAACCCTCATATCCAGCTCGAACGTATGTGAAACGGAAGGAGAAATCACACGCGGCCATCACATTGGTGGACCGCTGACCGTTCCGATCTCTCCAAGCGTCGGGGGAGATGTCTCGGACAGTCACAGGAACATGAGTCCCATCGATAGCACCGACACACTCTCGAAAGAAGGGATAGAACTTGGGGTTATCGGCAAGGCGGGGATCGATAGGTGTTTCTGACGTGGGTTGTTGCACCCATCGGCCATAGAAGTCTGGCGAAGTTATGGACTTTAGCACCTTCCTGAAGATTCTACAGATATGCTTGTTAGAAGTGAAATCGATAGAATAGCCATGGAATACGCACTTTGTTGTTGTATCAGCGGAGTGATCAAAACGACCAGAGCATTTCCTCCCTGATACACCAGTCCGACAGATGTAGAGGAATATCGCCACTTGCTCTTCAACAGATATATTCCTTGTTGACTTCAAGGGGGGATTCGCATGCTCTTCCAACTCCCGCGCAATGAAATGAAACATCGAAAGAGAAACCCCAAGCTCGTTGCGGGTTACGTTGTCGTTGATATGTTTGAGCCAATGGCCGGAGACCAGCTGATGGCCACCAAAAGGACTGTTATGCAGGGGCTGCTTGACATAGTGGCGCTTCTGGGACTCGATTACTGCTTTTGCGGCACCCCCAATGACCTGCCCGACTGCCCCGACGATTAACCTTCACCGAGTTTGCCATTGCTGGGAGCGGTGTCGTTGAAGAGAACCTTGAGCGACTGTGGATTGGCGAGGAAGGTTCATTCTGAGTGGATGGCGAACTGGTAAGGATAAGAATTAGATGCAAAATCAATCTGACTTTCTGACACAAGTTGTGTCAACAAGTGGCGATAGTTGTGGGCGGTGACGTAACTAGCTCAGGGAAAACCACGTGAAAAGCACGTGAAAATGGACGACATTTTGGAAAACGAAATGTCGTCTCAAAACCGTTCGAAAAATCCATACAATTTCGTGGCTACATTTTGTCACGAAATGTCGACATTTCGTGGCCGAGTTACCGGACACGCATTTTTGCAGCGAAATGTAGCGACGAAATGTAAAATGTAAAATGTCGCGATGGCAGCAATTTTGTATGGGAAAAAACTACATTTCGGGGCGAAATGTAGTCGAAATGTAGTTGCCGGACAGGCTCTTACACTTTTTTTCAAACTTCACACCCCAATCACGATGTCCCCTCCCGACGATAAACCCGCCGACACTGCGCCTGGCGCACCCAAATTCATCTCTATCTTTTATGACGAGGACGACAACCCCCTCGACACTACGGCAGCTGCGGGTCGCCCTGTTCTTCGTCTTGACAAAGCAGGCAAGATCATCCTCAGCCCTGTTCCTCCTATCGCCGACATGACTGTTCCCCTCCAGTCAGATGACAAAAGCACCTCCTACCCCGGCCATCAGCTACCTCCTCATCTACTCTCTGGCCCCACCCCACGCGCGCCAGCCTCGGAGAGTCAGACGTCTAGCCAGGATAGTCTTCGGCTTAGTGACCTCCAGGTCATTATCGAGTCCATGCAACGTCACCAGAC